AGGGAAATCATAGTGCTTTATTACAGATTTGAATTTCTTTTAGTAGTTAAAAAAAATTACGAAGACCCCCCTTGAAAAAATTCTGCGTACGCCACTGAAGTAACAAAACTTTTTCTCTTATTTGTAAAATAATAGGGTCGCCTGTAAATATTTGCAAGAAAATTACTGAATATAACAAAAATATTTTTCACTTGCGTGGGAAAAATACAAATGCAGTCAAACCCTGCTATAGTGAACGAAATGTTCGGTCCCGTGCCTTGCTATACACGGATAATGTTATTTTTTGTGCATATAGTGAACCAAAAAAGTGAGGAAGTTGGATATATTGAACTTTTTTCTGTCTTCGACTGATTTTTTTTTGTAATTTTGAAATTTCTACTTCAAAAAAAAAAAAAAAAAAAAAAAAAAAAAAAAAAAAAAAAAAAANCAAAACCATCTATAGAGGGGAATGTAGCGATAAGCATTTTTTCTTGTTTGCTTCCTTTATCTCACTTTCCCATATCTAAACAAACAAGGCAGATGTTTCCAACCCAGACAGTCGATGCCCCTGTAAGGTGTCAGTCAGTCGAATCAATATGCATTTCCTGTCAGAGGGAATGAGAAATTATTCATTATTGGTCAAAGGGTTGGACACTAATATGTGTTGATAAGGCCCTCATTTCAACTCCTTTTTGCTCTCAGTTCAGTTTAAACAATCCTGCAAACAAGTGTCTCAAATTTAACTATGGCGAGCAGTAAACGTAAAACGTTCTCCATTGATGATAAAATGGGCACAATCAGAAAAATTGAAAATGGATGCAATCAAGCTGATATTTGCAGGGAATATAAACTATCCAAATCTGCAGTTTGTAGTATATGAAAAAATAGGCAATTAATAATTTCTGTTCATGAAAAAAATTTAGATGGCAGAAAAAAGTTGAGAGAAGCAGATCACAAGGATGTTGAAGAAGCATTACTAAAGTGGTTCACCAATCGAAGTATCTGGACAAATGTCGATGAATTTGCTGAGCGATTTTCTGAAACTATTTTTATGTGCTCGAATGACAGGTTAGACAGGTTTAAAAAGCGGAATAACAGAAATTCAGAAAAAAATTTTTGAAAGTCGGGAAGTTTTTCTATATCTGATGTTGAAGATTGCTCATCAGCAAAAGATTACTAATTATTTCTTTTTGTACGCAAGACAAAAAGTAATGAAAAATAACGAATTTTTTGCTACTACATAATATTTTTCAGTCATTTATTTGAGTAATGTGTAATTAAAGGGAGGAGTTTGGGAACCATTAGTTAAATTGCCTGCGTAACGGATATAGTGAACTACCGGTTATAGTGAACAGAAGTTTCGGCTCCTTGAAGTTTCACTATAGTAGGATTTGACAGTACTTGTATTTTTTCCTCACAAGTGAAAAAAAACATGTTCGTTAAAAAAAATAGGGTTTATTTAAATCTTCACAAGAAAAGAGCTTACTGTAATTTTAATATCAAAATCTAATTTATTAACAATGACGGAATATAAAAACTAGAGCATCATTAACATTTACAATAAATGAATAATATTCTGCCACACTATTTAAACTTCCGCTACAAATTACGATTTTTTACCTATCTATTCCTCGTTTTGGTATCCCCGATTATCCGCTCCACCGAGTTCTGGTGCAGTAGGTAATTGGTCTAAATCTGGGTACATGGAGGGCACTTCGTGTATTTCTCTGTGTGTTGGGACCTCTTCCACCTTGGTGTCTTTGTTTCTTCGAAATGAGCGACGAACTCTGTTGTAAAGGGTTTCTGCAGAATTGGCTGAGTTTTGTCGGTCATCTGCTGTTGGAAGTTGGGCAACTCTTGCTGGTACAGTTGAAGAGACTGATTGTAATGGCATTGGGGGGCTGGAAGGGCTGTCATCTGCTGTGTTGTCGGATTTTGATCTTCTGGAACTGCGTATTATGACTGCTATTAAAGTGACTGTCATGATGAATAGAACTAAAGCGACCGCTGATAAGGAAATTAGCCACACAACTGAATAATTAGACCTTGGGCTGCCCTGATTGAAATCGCTGTTAGTCTCTGGCACTATATAGGAAAATTATATTAAGTTAATACAGTTCTACAAATAGTGCTTTAAAGAATACTTTTTTTAAAAAAAATGATTTAGCAAAAGGTCTTCATGGCAAATTCGCCTTCATTAGTAATTTTTAAAAAAACGGGAGTGTGGGCTGGGATAGCCTGGTTGGTAGGACCCTACACCCGTGTTCGCGAAAACTGGAGTTTGAATCCTGCCGGACGATGAAACCCTGTGTATTAAATGACAACTGGATGGTGCACATTAAATCTGTCGGGGTCTCCAAGTTCCTGTCACAAATCAATACCTCTGGGAGTACAAAATTGGTAATTGATTCTTCGCTCTTTCCCGTCAAAATTACGATCTGGGGATGAATGTATAGGTCCACATTGCAAAACGGACTGTGACGTCTGTGTGTGGTTGAAATCATATTTTTGGCTATAGATGGCACCAACAACAACCAAGAAACTCACGCTTTGCCTTTAATTCATTAGCAATTGAAGCAAACAGAAAAATTGAGTGCAGATGAACCAAGAATAAACCATTCAGCTTCAGATGCTGAAATATTTTCTTCCAAATATCAAAATAAATTACAACAAGAATACACAGTAAGGAAAGTAATTTTGCCATAATTTGTTCATGCTCTGATATTATGAAAAAATAATCAAAGTTGTTGCTTCTTATTTAACATGAACTTACTTTTTTCTGTTCTAATTTTTAATTGCCATTAGATGTGAAACAGAATTCGCCATGAAATGTTTCTCCCACGTTGAAGCGTCCTCTTAAATGGACGTCTCCAGTAATGGGATAAGCGTTTATCAGTTCTTAAAATAGAGAACATTTTAAAATCTATGCATAAAATCCCCGAAATGTAAATCTCAAATCCTCGATTACTACCTTTCATTAAATTCAGCACATCTCCTTTTTTTAATTTATTTTTTTATACAGTATTTATTTAATTTTCCAACCAAAATCACGGTGCCTCAATGGGATATTCATGTAGCTCCTGTTTGCAAAGCTACTGTCGTTTATTTCTGCATAAAAATAAAAAGTTTTTTTTTTTTTTGCCACAAAACGAAAATATTAGATCTAAGTGAGAATTTTAATCACTGTTGCCTGTATTGGCGATCGAAATGGGCTACAGGTGGCGTAGAGCAGAACTCTCTACCTATGCAAACAGTTTGCATATTTTCACCATTAGCGTGTGGAGAGTCATAAGAGAAGTACGTTAGTTTCTATCTTGATTTTCAACTAGATTAAGATCTTTTTAGTTAGGAAACTATATAGAACTGAAAAGTACATTAAACATAGTTCTAAAACAAAGCGTCATGGAAATTTTAAAAATTATTTTTAACAATTGAATACGAAAAATATTGAGAAAAGGAAAAGTACATTCTTATAAAACTGAAAAGAGGAGGAGAGGGAAGGGTCAACCGGTCTTCTCCCCAGATAGCGTATGTGAGCGTTGCCAACGAGAAAAATACAAAATAGTGCACATAAGGCCAGCATTTTCTAATATAACACATTTTCTAATATAAATGCTTCAAAAATAACCTGGCCTTTAAATTTCCTTTATTTCATAAATTTAATCATTCCTATTAAAATGAATGTATCAATTAATTAATTTCAAGTCAGCATTTTTTTTTTAATGCTGAGAGATTTTAGTTCAGGATTCTCTTCAGTTTTTTTTTAAGAATTAATTTTTAGTATTGAATTATAGGCACTATAAATAATAAAAAATAAATGGATTTGTTTTGAAATTATTTTCTAGACCTTTAATGTATATATATATATGTATTGCATTAAAAACTTACCACAGTTTAGGTTGTCGCTGTTATCGCCGCAGTGATTATGACCATTGCACGCAAGTTCTTTTAAAATGCACTTGCCATTTTTACATGGAAATTCATTAGACATGCAAGGACTTTCTAAATACAAATAAAATTAAAAACGATTAAAGTTAGTCACATTTTTAGTTTCAAGGCATAAAGTTTGTCATGAGATATTTTGTAAACATTTAAAGTTAAAAACATGTTATATAGTCGGACCTGTTTATCTCGAATCTCACGGGAAAGGCGAAAAATTTGAGATAAAGAGGTTTCGAATTATACTGGTACTTTAAAAAATTAAATTTAATTAAGTAATTCGATTAAAAGTGCTTTAATTGTTTTTAGTAGAAAAATACAGACATTTCTGTAAATTAATTACACCACATAAATCGATTTACATAAAACATTTTTTGCATACCTTTAACACTGAAAATAATCTTTTCAAAAATTTTTGACGACTAACCTTCTTTGTTTATGTTGTTCGGGCATTTGTGCTCGATTATTAGAAAATTGAGAAACAGAGGTTTTGAAAGAAAAATTTCGAGATAGACAATTTAGAAAGTTTGAGATATAGAGGTTTTCGAGATAAAGAGGTTTGAGATAAACAGCTTTAACTGTACTTGACTATGTTAAACATTACAATCCTTAACATATGTATCAGCAAGACGTTTCAACGTGTTTTATAGCAATTTTTCTGGAAGTTGAATGTACTTCCAGAAAAATTGCTATAAAACACGTTGGAAAAATCCAGGAAATGCAGAAAAACTGTACTTCCTTTTTTGCTTGATTCCATATTTTTCGAAATATTGAGATAAAAAAAAAATAATGAAAAGAACCCCTTTTTTCACTATCTTAAATTCCCAAGCTTGACTTAATACCTGAATAAACGATGTCAAGAAGAAATTTAAATGCCCCTGTAGTGGACTGATCGTTAAGACACGGTTCCCAGCAGATCACCCAAGTCAAGCATCACTAGCTGCTGTCAGTGGGTGATCCCTTGGATCAGTCTGCGTAGGGACCGAGGGTGTGCGGTATTGGTCCTCGTTAAACTGTTCTTCCGTAAAATGCTCGACTTCGCCTGCAGGTCGCTCTATCCCCTGAGCCATCGTGGCTCTCACTATTCTGTTTAGTTGAATTCCTATGCAAGATACTTTGCTCAGGGATATTTCCGAATCATGATCTCTCCCGCCAACTACAATCGTTTAAAAAAAAAACTTGTAGATGTATGCCCGGGGATGGCTACGAGTTACACTTTTCTAGTTGGTCCCTTTCTCTGATGTTTTTTTTTTTTTTTTTTTTTTTTTTTTTTTTTTTTTTTTTTTTTTTTTNTTTTTTTTTTTTTTTTTTTGGTTTCTCGCAGGCCGATGCCCGAAGTTGCCAAGATTTGGCGATTATTCTGCCACAGATCACGATACGGAAATCTTCCCTAGAATCCTTTGCTTTACCATCCTCGAATGGATGGAGCAATAATAAATATTTCTACTTCCACGTAAGTTTAAGCACTGTATCTTTTATTGTATATACCTGCTTTTAATTCTGTGAAAAATGCCTTTAATTTTTGTGACACCAAAAGAGTTATATTTTAATTATTTATTACACTAATAATTTATAATGGAGACATAAATTATTTGCATTAATCATTGACATATTTATCTATTGAGACAAATTATTGTTAACGAATTACAGTCAAACCCAGCTATAGTGAACATGGTTTATAGTAAACTCCCGAATATAGTGAACGAAATGTTCGCTGCCGTGCCTTACTAAACACATAAAATATTATTTTTTGTGGATATAGTGTACCAAAAGAATAGAGGAAATTGTATATTATGAACTTTTTTCTGTTTTCGACTAATTTTTTTCTTCATTTTTTGGTAATTTTGAAATTTCTACATAAAATACATATACCGATTTTTAAAACCATCTATTGAGTGCAATGTAGCCACAAGCATTCTTTCTTGTTTGCTTCTTCTATCTCAGTTTCCCATCCCTAAGTAAAGGCCATCCCTAAATTTTTTGTACGCAAGACGAAGAGTAATAAGAAATAAAGTTAACACATATTCTATTACTATATATTGATTTTTAATCATATTTTATTTCTTTTTATGGGTCATTTGTTTAAAAATGTGTAATAAAAGAGAACAGTTCGGAAAAATTAGTTAAAATTGTTTGCAGTTATAGTGAACTCCCGGTTATAGTGAACTGAAATTTCGGTCTCTTGAAGATTCACTATAGCGGGGTTTGACTCTAAATTAAAGCTACAATATAAATTAATAAAATTAGAGCTACAAACCATGCACTTGAGTAAATGTAAATTGAAATCCAGATGTCAAAGAGCTGTTGTTTCTTTCGTAATTTATCACCATTTCCCCTGCTGAAATAATCGACTTTTTTTCATCTTTGAATAATGCTGAGCCAATCAGTGCAACAGTATGTTTATCACTGTCTTGAATCTGAAATTTTTGTTACAGAATTATTAACTAAATAAACTAAATATCAATTCAAAGGATGTCCACAATTGACACTCGCCATGGGTACCCATAAGCATCCGATGATTTTAAAATTCAACTAAAAAACAGGAGGAGTTGGAAAAGTGCTGCGTTCTGCATCTCAGTAAGTTTTGAAATTTGTTAAAACGTTTACCTGCAGACGGTGGGACTAAACGAGTGAAGCTATCAAACAATGATTAAAAAATTATGAACATTTGAAGCAACAATGTGACGGGATGCCGTCTGACAGCAAAGTTAATTGACATCCATGCAGTTATTTTAGTTGAAATATTGTGACATGTAGCCAAAATTATTGTTTTACAGTTTTTATCTGTTATCAGCGCCATCTGTCTAAATTTGAAACTTGGTAAGAATAAACTTCCGGTTTCCTAAACAGAACGCAGCGAACCATTCTTTTCTATCTTTTTCTGTTTTTATCAAAATAGTGGTCATAGTTGGGATATTCGATAATTCTATTTTCCATCGCAAAATACGTCCCTATGCAAAAGGAATAAACACCCGTATTTATCATCGTCCTAAAATAAATCTTGCTGATGTTTAAAGAACCTGTTAATTTAATCGATAAATTATTACATAGTACCAGTTCGACTGCACAACAACTTCGAAGTAATAATCGGAGTTGGTGAGCGACTGCGAATAGGGGCCTCCAGTAAACTCTAAAAGTGATTAGCAGATTGTCATCATGATTTATTCATCGCAATTGTATAACAGAATTTTTAATAAACATTCTCGAGTCGTGATGGCTCAGGGGATAGAGCGTTCGCCTTCCAATGAATTGAACCGGGTTCGAATCCCAGCGATGGCTGGTCGATACGAATCCACATCCGGCTTGCACCGACCACAGTGCTGGCGTAAAATATCCTCGGTGGTAGACGGGACGGATCATGGGATAGAGGCCCCTTGCCCCTTCAGGCTTACCGTGGGAGATTGCCGTGGTTTTCCTCTCCTTGTAACGCAAATGCGGGTTAACTCCATCAAAAAATCTTCCACGAAGGTCAATTTCTCCCTATACTTGATCCAGGAATTCCCTTGTCTCCTGGACGGGGTTCAAAATTACAAGTCTACGGAGTTGAACATTAGTAGTCGTAAACGCAAGAAATAGGGTGGACTGTTCAAGGACTGTTATAAAATAAAAATAAACATTCTCCATCTTAAAAACAATTAAAATAGACTTACTGTTAACTGATCTTGTGAAGGAATGTCGTATCGATATAGACTCAAGACAACTGAACTCTCCTTATGTGCAAGAAGTCTCATTCTACAGCTGATAGAATCACCTCTGGTGTGCCGCGGCACACTCATGAGGATTCCGGTATTTTCATATCTCAAATCAATTGTAACAGACTTCTTCAAGAAGCAAAGGTCATCGACGAATTCTGTAAAAGTCAAATAATTCTGAGGGTTTCTGTTTAGAAGAAGGTTACGGAAGTTGCATTTACGTTGAAAAAGGTTGTTTGTACAGTCAGGGGGTGGAATAATTTTTGATGTAATGATTGATACTATACTTTAAGTGCAACACGTACGATATTTTAAGTTATGAAATCAGATACAAAATATCCCTTTTTATGCATTTATATGCACAAACGGCTAAAGGTACTAAAATCTGCAATTGCACATGCACGTATGCAATTGCATACTGTCCGCTCTCTATAATCATGTTTTAAAATGATTATTAAGATTGAATCTTAAGGGAAAACATCCTAGTAAAATTTTCAAAAGAATTATTGAATTTTTCGATAGTCTATCCTATAGATTATTGTACCAAAATATTGAATTGATTTTCATAAAGATGTTAAGAGTTACAGCATAATATGTCAAGAGCAGGTTCTTCAAACGAAAGAGCAAAGTGGTTCTTTAAAAGATAACTGCTCCATTCAAGAGTACCGTTTGAAACATAAAATCACAAGATTATCATCTCATTTGTCTACGAAAAAACAAGGCTGATGTTATTGTAAAATTTTCATCGATTTTATCTGACAAAATTGTATCAATTACCAGGGCTAAAGAGAATAGAAGGGCTGGTTCACTCCTTTGAAGTAGCTCTCGCCGTGAAAGTGGTCCACAAAGTGCTACTTCCCACCCATATGACATTGGACTTTTTTCAGAAGATATTACATTATGTTCCTAAACTCAAGAAATCAAATCAAAATTTAACTAAACAATGTTGTCTAAATAAAAAGTCAAAATTGTCTAGCTGTCTAAATTAAGGAAATAATAGTGCTTTTTTACAGACTCGAATTTCTTTTAGAAGTTTCAGAAAATTATGAACACCCCCTTGAAACAATTCTGCTTACGCCACTGGTACGATTAAGCAAAGGAAGAAGTCTCTTCAGCAATTAGAAAGAGAAAAAGGAAAAAAAAATTGAAATTGAAAATTTAATCTAATGTGTGACGTAACAAGAGAAGAAGCTTTTTTATCAATAAAAAAGCGAGAAAACGAAAACAAACGATTTGATTTGCTGTGCAACACGGCTGGAGAAAAAAAAACCTTTTCACTATTATATAAAATAAAAAAAATCGAAAACATATAAATAACGTTAATTAGGACTTAGTTTTAATGGCCAAGATAACGAAGCAAAGGTCTTCTTGAACAAATGATTTGCTGATTTACATGTTTTTGTTAGGTTAGGTCATATGCTCTCATACTCTTCGTTGTGTCAATAATCGATTCTGATTTTTTTAAGTGCATTCTGATGTTGCGCTTAAACAAGTTCGATAACGTTGATATTAAACGGATTATTTTTAAGAGGTTTTTTTATCTATAAAAAAAACTTCTAGCGGTTGAAATTTTATTATTATTATATTTTTTAAAATGAAATCTGGCACAATACCTTTTATCATGAAGTGAAATATTTTCCTCTTCAACTTTTTTTTAAAAACTTGAAGTATCATCTTTCAAAAAAGGATGAGCCTTTTAATCAAGAAGCTCATCCTTTTTTGATACTGTATTTAGTTCACTTAAAATATTTTTAAAAATATTGTAAAGACATATTTTAAAAATGCTCAGTTTAAAAACTTAAGAGTTTTTATAATGTATGTAGTCAAGAAATGGTTATAATTTTATAAAATGCCTCAGTTCAAAAGTAAAGTTTTTCAATAATGTATTAATAAAGAATAGATCTTTTAAATGTACTTAGTTCAAAAACTATTATAACAGTTTTTCAAAATGTATTATGAATTGACATATCTATTTTTAAAAAAGTGCTGAGCTAAAGAACAATTGTATAAAACCTAACAGTTTTTCAAAAATGCATTATATATCTTTTAAATGTACTCAGTTCAAAAACTGTTATTGTTCAAATCATAACGGTTTCTTCAAAAAATATGTTGTAAAATAATATATTAATTTTTATTATGCTCAGTACAAAAACAGTTATTGTTTTCACTTTATAACGGTTTATTAAAAAATATTATTAAATGTGACAGGTGCCCTGAGTGGCTTGATCCCTCAGGAACAGCAAATCACACGTAATATTAGCATTTTAGGAAAATTTATTCATTGCAGAAGACAAATTCATTTGAATCATATGAGAAAAACTTAGAATTAGAAATCTTATTGGGATATTGTTTAGTAAAGAAATCTTATTGAGAGGTTGTTTATTAAAGAAATCTCATTGAGAAATTGTTAAGTAAATCAACAAAGTTCAAAATTTATTCTATGTAAAAGACAAATTCATTTGAATCATATAACAGAAACTTAGAAATCTTGTTGAGAAATTGTTAAGTAAATCAACAAAGTCCAAAATTTATTCTATGTAAAAGACAAATTCATTTGAATCATATAACAGAAACTTAAAAATCTTATTGAAAAACTGTTTAGTAAGCCAACATCGTTCAGAATTTATTCTATGTAAAAGACAAATTCATTTGAATTATATGACCAAAACTAAGAAAATTAAGAGCCTCTCGGCTTTCGCTAAACAATTAATCTCTCTCGCTTCTAACTGTTCTTCTAATCATTCTTCTAACGGATATTCCAACGGCTTTCCATGACTGTTCAAATGATTTGCAGGGCGTTTTCTAACGGCAATTATTGCTTATTTTGCAGAATAATTCAATTTTAAACTTACTTCCAACGTCTCTTTCCCTCTGTGGCAGAATTACAACAATTCGGATCAGACAGTTCAAAGGCTAATCCGTTACAAGATATAAATCATTTTAAAAACGTTCAGTTTGCGAACTGCTCAAAATATAGCCCTTTATTCACAATTCAGACCAGATATTTCATTAGAAATTTTAACGCATTCATAAACGTGATTATTAAATCTTGAACCTGACATAAGATGTTAGACATGAAGCAGAATATTAATATCATAAAAATTAGCACATGCGCCTTAAAGATTATATAAGCATTCTTGTGCAGTGCTGTAAACATTATTGGTCGAGGGGGAAAATAATTAGAAAAATTAGGATCAATATAACTCATTTAGAAAAAGGATTTTACTTTCGTAAATTAATATTAAATTATTCAATATATAATAATAATATTAAATAAAAATTAATCAAAATATAATAAGGAAATAAAAATTAATCAAAAATATCAATTAGTAAGTGAACAAATAAGGAAATTCCGAGCATATAATTCTCCTTAGGTTAACATGGAGGAAGTAAAATCATTTTTCTTTCTGAATAGGACCTTTAAGCGTACATTAGAGAGATTTTGCAAAGCATAACGGTTTCGTTTAACTCTAATGTTAACGCTATTCAAGCTCCATAGTGCTTGCGCAAGTATTTCCTTACAAATAAGAAAGTTTTTAAGGGTAGAAGATAACGTTTGCGTTACGGTTAATATAAAACAAAGGCTGTGCAAAATCTCTTTATTATTTGAATTATCCTTTTCGTTCGTTTGTTTATTCTCGCTCTTGTTCATTTATTTTATGTATTATTTTTATTAATTGGACATTATAACTGTAATTATAATAATAAACGCCGTGAAATCCCAATCTTATACAACGTGTTATAAATTACGAAGTACGATAAGCTATGTTTGATTTTATATTATAACTGTCGTTGCACAGTCGACCCAATTTTGGGTTTACGACTACTAATGTACCCAATCCAGAAGACAAAGGAAGTCCTGGATCTAGTATTGGGAGAAATGCTACCATCGTGGAGGACTTTTTGATGGAGCTAACACGAATTTGCTTTACATGGAACGCAAAACATCCCACGGTTAGCCTGACGGGATTCTAACCCATGACCCGTCTACTACTGTGGATATTTTACGTGAGCACTTTGGTCGGTGTGAGTCAGGTGCGGCATTCGTATCAACCAGCCATTGGCCAATATAGAACCTACATTGTAGTAAATTGGCTAAATAATGGATACAAAATATCGGGTGAATCTGATAATTATATATATGACTGATATTGGTTGTAAAGTGGCTGTAAAATAATGGGTGAATCGGAAAATTCTATATTAGTCTAGTTATCGATAGATTCATGAATATTGGCAATGAGGGCCCAAGTTATTTTGCTTCTAGGATTATTGTTTGTTTCGTTGAGAGTTAAATTGAAAGAACGCGTTTTATTGAAAACACTAGAAGTATAATAATGTTGGATGGTGCGTTTTTTTCAAGCTTAGACTTAAAAATCAGTCGGAAATAGGAACTCGGAAGTCTTACAACGAATTTTAACCTCCAGCGCCATCTGCGCTGAGCTTTACAAGGTCAACCATCCATACGGCGCTCTCTGTCATCCGGCAGTCTTATCAACTTGAGGCAAAAACATATCTGGTAAAGTTGCTGGCAATTTCATTCAAAAATTTTTTAGCCATAGTTGTGATTTTCCATAATGGAACTGCTCGTGTAATTCTTATATCGCGTAAATGTGAATAGCTAGGTAAGATTTCTAAATAGCACAGCCTTACATGATTTAGAATCGTATTTCTCAAGGCTATTCATTTTTTTATTATCGAATAATTCATTTCTGAACAAATAAAAAAAAAACGTCTAGCGATTTTGTTAGGAAATTTTTAAGTGTTATATTAAAAAACATATTCTATTTTTCTAGTAATCGATATTTTAAAAAATGGGTTCGAACAGGAACAGAAAAAAAAAAAAAGATACGCCTTAGCGTCAGGAAGCTGATTTTGCATCAGAAAGGTCCTCCGTTCGAATATCCTGGACAAGGTCTTTCCTTCTCTGTACTATCTGTGCGGGAAAAACGCGTTAAAAATATTTTTCAATGTTAATAATAACAATTTCTAAAACCGAACAGATGGCGCTTTGCGCAGTAATGTTAAAGGATTCATTGTAATCAGTTTCCTCAATCAATCAAGATGTATCATGAATATCTCACTTACTTTTGTTATTAAATAAATCATGTTAAAGGCGTTTGTAATGATTTAAATGCCCGAGATCATCGTACTTAACAAAACGTTACCCCACCTAATTTGGTGCCCCTGAAAGAATGGCCAACAAATCTGCCCTTCAATTAACCTAAATGATCAATCTGGTGGGGGTTGGAGAAAAAAAATTATATTTCAAAAAATCATAAATTCTTCTTTAGCAATTCGCGTGTATAATATAATTTTTTTGAATAATGTTTTTTTTTAATTAATTTTTTCTTTTAAACTAAAAAAATTGTAGGTGCTGCTGCTCTGGTCATGCATTTTACAAAAAGAAACATTTCTCTAAAGAAAACCTATACAGCAGACGACGGGGCAAAATTATGAAATTTTTCTTCTGGTCACTTCAAACTTTTTTTTTTTTAAACACTAGCCAATTTTTAAAACATGTGGCTACTTTTTCAGAAATTTAAAGTTTTATAAGGTTCAAAAAAACTGTTGATAATAATGTAAGGCATTTTTTTTCGAAACATTTCTGAAAATATGGCAAATATTACAAGGGTTATTTCTAAAATACAGAAAAAATTTAAGAAAAAAGGTCGAAATAAAGTAATTTTCAAAATATTATGAAATGTTTATAATAATTCTATACATTATTATTATTAATAATGATAATAATAGAAAGCACATGTGGTGCATTTTTGACGAAAAAAGTGACGATCGATTTACTCCATACAGCAGCCATTTTGTTTTGTTCCTCTTTGGTAAAATTAATTATTATATTGCTTTTAATTATTTGCATAATTAAGATTTTTTCTTAAATTTTTTATTGATTCCATTGTTTTTCTTAAAGAATTCCACGGATATGTCAATTTATTTATTTATTTTGGTCATTACAGTGATCTTATATTAAATTAGTTAAAATGAAGCGTTATGATTATTATAATAATCATTAACATTATTTTAGTATTTTACTTCTTAACTTAATTTTAAGTACAACAGCTACGAACTTTAAACGTTATGATTTTCACGTTATGATTATTATTATTATCATTAACATTAATTCAGCGTTTTGCTTCTTAACCTGATTTTAAGTAAAGCTGCTACGAATTTCATACGTTATGATTTTTATGTAATGATTATTATAATAACTAGAGCCCGGATTTTGATGACCTAAAAAATCTCAACTAATGCCCTTAAAAAGTGCAAAAAATGCCCTTAAAAAGGGCAAAAAATGCCCTTAAAAATCCAAAAATTGCGCAAAAAATGCTTTAAATAAAGTAAAAATATTGAATTAAAAAATGTTTTGCTCTTTAAAATTATTATGAGTCTTTTAAAAAATATAAAGCAATGCAATACTTGTTCTACGTTCATTAAAGTTTGAAAAATTCGTTTTATATCCTAAAATAACAAAAAAAGGAAAATATATTGACACCAAAATATTTTTATTTTGTATAGAAACTTTAATGGATATAAAAACTTCCATCTCGTAATATTACTAAATATCAGAATTACATTGGATTATTAAATCTTTTTTGATAATTTGAAATGTAAACGAGATTCTCTTGTCTGAAAGTAAATTTTCATTCCTGCAGAAGCTTCTTTCAACGTCTACTGATGTTATAGGTGCGTACTTGAAAAAGACGGTCTCACTTTCTTGACAATTCTTCTTCAATTTGAAAAGATTTTGCTTCACCTGTTAATATTCTATAGATTTTCTTCATTGTTTGGAAGACAGTGTAATAATGAAAGTTGATAAAAAATAATAATAATTAGAAAAAATTGACAAAAAACTTTAAAAAATGCATTAAAATGCAAAATACGCCCCAAAATTTAAAGAAAAATGCCATATAAATCTAAAAAAATGCTCTAAAAGACAAAAAATGTCCAAAAATGCAAAAAAATGCAAATGTCATCAAAATCCGGGCCTTAATAATAACCATTGATTTAACACTTTGCTTCTCGACCTGATTCTAAGTACAGCTGCTACGAATTTTAAACGTTACAATTTTTATGCTGTTATTAATAATCATTAACATTAATTTAGTGCTTTGCTTATTAACCAGATTTTAAGTACAGCTACTACGAACCCTAAACGTTATTATTAAGTTATAATTATTATAATAATCATTAACATTAATTTAGCGTTTTGCTTCTTAACCTGATTTTAAAGTACAGCTGTTATGAATTTTAAGTCTACAAACAAAAATGACGAACATATTTTACTATTAGCATTAAAAGCAATGAATATTATTAAAATTTCAAATTTACTTACTTATTCTTTGGACAGCATTTGTCCCAATTAATGTGTTTGTAAAAGTAAACGCACAAACAAACAAGAAATGTGTTAAAATCTTCATTGTGATCCGATTTAATCCAATCTTAATTTCTGTTTAAATTCACTAAAGTCGTAGTCAACGAAAAAATTGAGATATGGATTTTGAAGATAAAACTTCGAATATTCTTCGAAGAGAGATACCTGAGAGCGATCAGGAATAATCTTATCTATTTGCTAGGATACTTGCTTGGGTAAATGAAAGAAAAAAAATTGATTTCTACGTTAAAGGTAAAATGAAACTGTATTTGAAAAACGAATTTATTCAAAAGGGTTGGGGCTTATAATGATTTTTAGCTTTTATAGCAACAAAGCAGTTTTAATGAAAGCCATGATTTAAAACTAAATTGAGGTTTTTGGTGTGTTAAATTGTTATTTTGTAGAAATTTATATTTATGTAAATATATATAAAGATCGTTTAACACCGGACCCAATTTTCGGGTTGGCGACTACTAATGTTTAACTCCGTAGCCTTGCAATTTTGCACTCAATCCAGAAGACAATGGAGCTCCTGGACCAAGTGTTGCGAGAAATTTGTCTCCTTGGAGGACTTTTTTGATGAAATTAACACGCAATTCCTTTATATGGGGAGGAAAACCACCCATGGTTAGCTTAACTGCAAAGGGACTCTAACCCACGGTCCGTCTACCACTGAGGATATTTTACGTCAGCACTGTGGTCGGTGCAGGCCGGATGCGGAATTAGGATCAACCAGCCAGCTCTGGGATTCGAACCAGGTTCACCTCATTGGAAGGCGAACACTCTATCCCAGGGGTTTCCACCTTACATGAGACCGGGGGCTGCAATTAAAAACATCAGTCAAATGGCGGGCCGCAACTTTATCGAAATTTTATATAGAACTCTTTTATGTTTTGAAGGAACATTAAATATTACTGTCAGATTTTTATCAAGTTGTACAAAACGAAATTATTGAATTACAAATTAAAATAATAAGTAGATTTTAAAAAATATTTAATTACATATTAAAAAAATCTGGCTACAATAACTTTAATGTGCACCTATGTATCAAGCAATTAATGCGCAACAGACATAAAATTTTCAAGACATAAAACTTAAAACTATTTAAAACCCACATAGTTTTTTTACGAAAATTGTCCACAAAAAATGACAGCTAATATATTTTAGTTAGTTAATGTGCACCTATGTATTAAACAATTAATGTGCAACAGACATTAAATTGTCAAGATATAAAACTTAAAACTATTTAAAATCCCCATAGATTTTTTACGAAAATTGTACACAAAAAATGACAGCTAATATATTTTAGTTCGCGGGCCACAAAAAAAAAGGCTTCGCGGGCCGCCAGTTGGTAATCACTGCTCTATCCCCTAAGCCATCACGGCTCATTTTGTAGAAATTATTGAAATTTGTAAAGTGAAACCAATACTGATGTGAAAACACCTTTTTTAGATTTGTCATTTATAAAAATTGAATTGAAAGAATCGCATGAATACGGAAAAAGATGTGGAATTTTTAAATAAAGAGAACTTTAATGGAAATGTGTAAGTTTAAATCGCATAAACACAGATCATATGATGTGTAATTTTAAATCGCGCAAATACGAATCGCGATGCGAAATTTTTAAAAAACAGGGATGTGAATTACTGCTTTAATTCGCATTAACATAGGTTGGAAAAAGTGTAATTCGTGAACTTGTAAAAGCGGAATTTTCTTTGATAGGCGGAATTTTTCTAATTATTAAATTTAAAAAAAAAATGTGGAATTACTTCGAAAAGCGAATGGGTATCATTTGCGCTATTGTAGTATATTACATAATATGATGACCAAGTTTAAAAATTACATATTAATATTAAGGGGAGATATAGTACCATATATAAGCAACAATTCCTCCATTTTAACGCTATTATACGCACTTAGAAATATATACACACATACTTACATATTGAACCACATTTTCGGTTCCATAATTTGTTTATATTTCCTTCCGTATGGTATTTGATATTATAATACATATCACCTGATATTATAATATAGTGCCACCCCCTCTGCAGAGGATCAAAATTGTGATGGCATGTCTTCGGATCATACTCGAGGATGTTTCCCAAACCGTTGCCAATAGCCCATTGTGCAGCTCTAGTGCGACGTAAGTGAACTACAACTATTGACCATTTACGTTATATTTAGCACGCTAAAAGATCATTCGGTATTAAACCAAATTCGGTACCAAGTTCTTGCAACCAAAAATCATACAAGTCGTCTTTGCTGAACAGAATCAATTCCCGTAAAACATAGTATTCAAGTGTAATATAAGGTACGTGTAGATTCATTTACGCTGCACTAGAGCTGAACATTGAGCTATTGGTGACGGTCTGAGAAATATTCCTGACGATGATCCGGAGTCAACGTCACATCTCGTTTTACAAGAAGGACATATTTATCCATAACATCCAGCCACAAATTGTAATTTTAACCTGAACCAGAGCATGATCAATCCGATCAAGTATCCACAGACATGCTGATTTGTTATGGGAACTTTCAGGACTTTGTGATCCTGACACATTTCGCGTGCACCAGTCACCATTTATACGAGGGATTTTTCGAAAAGTAAAGATACACCGTGCGCCAGAGGAAAAGAAAAGTTTTCGCGAGCAAGTTGGCAACACAGGTTTTAACCTTGAACCGTTAGCTTTCTCCTCGCGGTCGTTCGGCATTTCAACGTTGATTCTGGTTGGAGTAGGTCGTGTTTAAAATGGCTGCGCCGATTCAGAATCCCGCCGAATGCGAAGTGCGCTCCGTCATACGTTTTCTTCATGCAAAAGGTCAGAGACCAGCGGATATTCACAAAGAAATTGTTTCTGTTTATGGGAACGTTACGAATAGACAAAATGTAACGAAGTGGTGTCGTCATTTCTCTGAAGGTAGGACCGAACCGATATTCATGGCGAACAAAGAACAGGTCGGCCATCTGTGATGCCCTTCTTCAGAGAACGGAGGAAGCAATTCGTGCGAATAGACGCCTCAAATTGAAAGAATAGCGTCAGATCATACCGGAAGTTTCAATGACAACTCTTTATGAAGTTGTGACTGTCAAGTTAGGGTACAGGAAATTGTGTGCGAGCTGGGTTCCAAAAATGTTAACAGAAGAACACAAAAAGAAAAGGATGGGCTTTGCACTCGACTTCCTCACACGCTATGCAGAAGCAGGTGATGAGTTCCTTGATCACATTGTGACAGGTGACGAGACGTGGGTTTATCACCATACACCTGAATCCAAGCAACAATCAATGAAATGGCGCCATTCGAATTCACCCAAAGCCAAGAAATTCAAAACTTCGATTTCAGCGAAAAAAATCATGGCTTCTGTTTTTTGGGACAGACAAGGCATTCTTCTGTTGAAATTTATGCCTCCCGGAACGACAATTAATGCTGCAGCATATTGCCAGACTTTGAAACGTCTTCGAATGGCAATTCAAAACAAATGCAGGGGAATGCTGACAAATGGAGTCCGCTTGCTTCATGACAACGCTCGGCCTCACACAGCTCTCGTAACCAAAGCACTACTCAAACAATTCAAATGGCAAGTATTGGACCATCCGCCATACAGCCCGGACCTTGCGCCCAGCGACTTCCATTTATTCCTTTACCTGAAGTCACATCTTGGTCTTCGGCAGGAGGGGATCGAAGACACGACCTCATGGCCTAACATCCTACCTGTCAGGCTTCCCGGATCCCCAAGATAGAAATAAATGAATATATAAATAAATAAAAGAATATAAATAAATGAAAAAAAACGCAAGATTAAAAAAATATACTTTTTTGCTTCCCCCCCAAAAAATCTTTCTGAAAGAATTCTGCAATGTTCTGCGACAATGTCAGTGTGATTCAATTCAATTTTTAATGAATTTTACACGAAAAGTATAATTTACAAACACGAGGACACAAGCTCCACTCCTGTAGGCTATACATACATGTTATAACATTATACATACATGTTTTTGAAAAATCACTAAAACTAAGACGAGGCCCTCCTACTGAAATGTATTCCATGGGTGTATAGAAGAAATTACAAAAATTTTCCACAAAAAAAAAGATTAACCATTTATTTTACCGAATGACAGTTAAAATCTGAAACATGTTATTAAGAATAATTAAAAATAACTTTCAAGAAAAATTCCAGAGAACTTGAAATCATATCATCAATTCCACATTCTTCCTGTTTTATTTCGTATGCATAACTAAGCATTGAAAAAAAAAATAACAACTTTTATTACTTTTTATTTTTTAAAGAAAATATTAAATAACAACAATGTCTTTTTTTATAAAAAAAAAAAAAAAAACTTAAATCTTTATTTTTGAATACTAAAAATCAGAATTACTTAATAGGTATATAACTCTAAAAAATTATAATTACACTTTAAGAAACTAGAAGATTGGTATAAAATGAATAAATAAAACCAAATGTCTCATAATATAGTTTTAATGCCACATACATATTTTAAATGAATCATTGAAATAACAAAAATATCTTTTCAATAAAGTATAATATATATATATATATATATACATAAACTTTTAATATTTTTTAAAAAGTTCCAATATCTAAGAGTACATGAGTTTGTTTTCATATTGGAATAATTTATTCTAAAACCATGAAACTTTTTTTTTTATTTTTTATTAATGATTTAAGTAACTTTACCTTTTGCAACTTTGCGTAACTTTAACCTTTTTATTTATTTATTTTTACATATTTTGGAATTTCAGTGAGTGTGAAGTTATATATTTTCTTAAACATTTGGTGCAAACTGGACACTGGTGTCTCCATTTTATATATTTTTTCTGGTACTATAATTACAAGTAAATATATTTTGGTAATTTTTAATTATAAAACATAGTCTAATTGCTACTAAAAAAAAACCCTGCTAGATTAACAGAATTACATTGGAACTAAAATATAAAATTTAAAAAGTCTTTAGAAATTTTTTTTCCATTCACATTCAAAAATTTATCAATAATTGATTTTGTAAATTAAAGAAATTTCAATGATGAATTATTTTTTTAGAACAAAATAACTGTAAATTTGAAAAATTATTGCTTGGAAATAAGCTGTTAGTCCATACTTTCCAAGAGTTACATGTGTCTCTATCTGCACCAACCTATCAATATTTCACAATCATAAATTATTAAAATTCTAAATATAATATTTTTACATTATTTTGACCCGCATTAATAAAAAATAATGAAAAATGTGTTACATGAAAACTCTGCAACAAGGGAAAAAATAAACTCGCACTTACAATAGAAGAATATCAAATTCTAACATTGTAGAACCGTTTAAAATCTTAAGTTTTAGATGATGCTCTAATTTACAAAAATTTTAGCACAATAATATCAGCATATTGCAACAATAACAAGTTACTTTTTAAAACAAAATCAACAGAAACATTTATATATTATTAACGATACTAACATAGATTTTTTGACTGACTGACAGTTCTTAATTGATGAAACTGCCATAAGTTATCTTTTAAAACAAAATCAACAAAAACACTTATATAATATTAACGATACTAACTTAGATTTTCTAATTGACTGACATTTCTTAATTGATAAAACTGCCATATCATCCATCAAAGAGCTCCAATATTTGATATTTTAAGACTAACATCAAGTCAGATAATTTATTTTAAAAGCTTACAATATTTTAATAATTAACGTTTTGATAATTTAAAATTAAATTTTGATTTCTCTTAACCTTTTTGATAGTACAGAAAAACCTGTCAAGTTGACCTCCATTGAAAAATAGAACCAAATTTATCTAATAATAGAAAGAAACAAAACCTATGTAACCTGACCACTGGTTTATTTTGTATGTTGACTACAGAAATAATAGATTTATCTAAGAGTTTTGAATGCTTTTCTAAACCTTTCAATAAGTTGACTGGAAACGAAAACTTTCCCAGGTAACTTATGAGAAAGTTATGAAGTCAACTTATGAGCAAGTTTTACAAGTCAACTTATGATTATAAACTTCTTGAAAAAGCAAATTTTTCCAAGAAATTTCCTATGCCATAATACCATCCATACGCAAAAATTATTAAGGACTTTTGTAAAATTTAGGTTCGTAAGTATAATATGAAATGTATATAATGTTCTTGCATACAAATATTTAAGAAATGTACAATAAATTACTGTCTTGCATCTCAAAAAAAAAATGTATATTTTTTAAATTAATCTGCTTACTATTAAATTTTTCTAATAAATTGCAGTTTAATAGCTACATTTATCTTTAAATTGATTGGTAATAAACAAGAAATCTATGAATAACATGCTAGAAATTACAGGAAAAAAAAACAAAAACAACAATGACTCCACCCTATCTATAAATTGACCATCTGTCTAAGTTGAACAATAAAGTAATGCATTACAAGAGGCCAACTAAACAAATTTAACTGTATCAGTTTTTAATTATTTTTTCTAACTTTTAAATAAAACACCAGTACTAAGGCACATATTTTTGTAAACATTATTCAATCAAAAGAATTACAACTCATGCTTTCATATACATCACACATTTTAATATTCCAGAATTCTAAATTAAATATCATATAACTATCAGCAGATGTATTTTTTCCAAAACATATTATTGCCTTAAAATGAAATCCACTTTTAAAAGTACTTATTAAAGTCACATAGAAGCTATTTTTAAATCATTACTGAGTGACAATTTAAATTCTTGACATAAGCAAAGACTAAATTTGTACAGAAATACTATTTACAAAATCATCACAATATAATTAAGCAAGAACCCGTCTCACAGCATTTTAAATAAACATACTCATTTTAAACACACATTAAGAATAGCCTCAATATCACAGGTATTTAGGAATGCATGGCAACACATGAATTAAATTACAACTTTTGCGTAGGCACCGGTCATTTTGCTTCCATAATGCCCAGCCCAAAACTGACAGTCTTTGCCATGGTGCTCAAAATAAATAAAACGACTTTTAGCAACATTTTCAAACACATGATTTACCTGAAAAAAAGAAAGAAAGGAAAATTCTTTAATGATACAACTAATTAAAACATTTTAAAGTCAGAAAAATAAAAACCTCATTTAAAAAAAAGCAGTCTTAAATCTCAAATATAAAAAAAAAAAACTGGTACATGATTTACTAAAACATTTTATAATCTAAAAGGTGTAGTTAATTGAATAAAGCAGTATTTTAATACAGAAAAGAGCAAAAGAAATTTGAATGACATTAATTATTAATAACATTTTATAATCTGAATAAGAAAATGAACATTGAACAAAACAAAAAAAAAAGAAAAGAAATTAGAAAAGATATATAAAACGACTTTTTCGTCTAAAAAGGTATGGAAAAAACTATTTACAATCTAAAAAAGAAAATGTATAACATAACTAATTAAAACTTTTTATAATCTAAAAAAAAATTACTCGAATTGAGTACATTATAAAAAAAATGTACAACATTACTTATATCTAAACAGATACCTAAATTTTATACTAAATCTATTAAATATTACTATACATTGCAAGTTTCAAAGTGAGAAAGTTTTGCACTGCGCATAAGCGATAGTTGGTTTTTCAGAGCAGTGCATAAATGAAGAAAAGTTATCGTTGTTTTTCTATATTCCCAGCCAGGACTGCTAGAAAAGCGTGCATAAGTGAGAAACGCATATAAAAGAGAGAGTGCATAAGTGAGAGATCACTGTATATACATAATAGTGTGTTAAATTGAATATGCGTAAAATAAACTGAATGCTCCAAGGATGATTACAGCTTTCCTGTGTAATAAATAATAATACAAGAAGCTGAAATAAAATACACTTACAGTGAAAAGTGGTGATCAGGTGGAAACAGAAAATATTACCTTTTAGATTCTGGATAGTATTTGCGACAATCGTTAATTTTTATACTTTCTGTATGAAATATTGCCCCTTTTTAATTTTATCATGATTTTTTAAGCATTCTGTATTAAACTAAATAAATAATTTTGCTCACTTTATGCCACTCTTTACCAACCCACTGCTCTTCTCTGTATTCAAACGTAAAATGATCCACAATGCAATCTTCCCATGTTTCAGTACCAGGATAATTTCCGTCCAATAAAAATACATCAAGTTTATAAAATGAAGCACAGTCGAAACGGGCGGCATACCTAAGAAAATTAAAAAGAGATTTTAGTCATGCAACAAGGAAACAGAAATAAAAATCATACAAAAAGTCAAAAATTAACTTCTCATTTTGTTATCAACTTCTTGCATGAAACTGTCAAAATACTTTGAAAGTTTCATGTGGAATAGAATTCTTTTTTCAATAATATTTTAAAGATTATAAGAGATTCTAGTCATGCAACAAGAATAAAGAAAACTTTTCTTTTTAAATTTTTATATCTCAGAATCTATTCAACCAATATCTTATAAAGCTGTTTTTTTCTTTTTTTAAACTTTTTTTTGTTGATTCTTTCTCATATTTTAGTACTACTACTATCAATACAACTTTATTGGAAAAAAAATAATTATAGTTAAAAGTAGACAAACACTTTAAATTTGAAAAAAAAAAAAATTTTTTAGCAAGTTATTTTCCCTTTAGATAAAAAAACATTAAAACCAATTCTAAATTTTTGCACATTTCTATTAGCAAGCAGAGATGTGAAAATTTAAAACATTTGATTACAAACAGTATTTACCATTAAAAATTTCATGTTGATATTTAATACCATTTTCCTTATTAGTATGTAAAATTTAGTAAAACATAATTAAAATAAGTGTCATTAACTACACTTATTTAACTAATTAATAATAAAAGTCAAATGAGATATTTTAAATTTTCTGTCGTTATAGCCTTATCCAAAATAAAGTGGCCTTAACGGTAGCTTTCCAACTGGTGACCTGATATGAAGTTCAGACAGTGATCTTCCTTTTAGAAGTACGGCTCACCCTGCCTGCTATTTGATCCCTACAAACTTGCCCTCCTGGTTATTTCTATAAAAATAAGTCGCCATCCCATAAAAACATTGTCTTTTTATGTAATTTTTTCAAGAAAAGGTTGTTTTCTTAACTATCTGATTTAAGAAAAAGTCCAAAGAAAAAAACCTTGCTTCTCCTGATTTTGGGTGTGGTATTTATAGACAATAGATTGGTCTATAAATCTTATCTAAGAAAAACAACCCCTTCTAGTTCCTGGAAAAAGTGGAATTTGTGTATACTTTCTAACACCTGCTTTCTATTTAATTAATATCTTTGCCTTTTCATAGAAGAGAAAATCGAGGAAGGGAGAATATCGTCCTCATGAAACGAAGATTACCATCCTCATAAAATTTCAGGCCTATTGATGCACAAAATAAAAGATCACAAAGGATAAACACCCATACGTTATACTATGCTTCAATACAATAATTTTATAATGGAGAAGTTCCTGCGTTTTACTTTTCTAAATTTGAATCTCGTTTCAAATATGATTTTTTAGATTTGTGTTTTTCTGCACTTTTTTAAGACAATAATAATAAAAATGCCAAAGAAGAAAACAAAATCATAAAAAGCAAAATCAGAAAAAAGCAGCTTGAGCTGTTATTAAGTTGAGTACTTTAATACTAAAAGCAACGTAAATGTTCAATATAGAACATATTTATATATGGAGGTACAAATATATGGAGAAATGCTTTTGTTTTAAAAGAAAATTTTCAAGCTCTTTTGCCTTCCTCCTTCTTTCTTTTTTTATTTTTCTCACTATATTTAATACAAAATGAAATGGATTTTATTAATTAACCACTTTATCAGTTATTGGAACTAACATTCCTAACATAATGTTAATACTCCTAACATAAGCGTTTAGTTTTCTTTTTCGTATAATTCTATCTGTTTCAGTCCTCTTCTGAGAGAATACTTGTCAGCAATTTTATAAGCTAAAAATATTTAATATTCGTTTTGATTAATATGCATTGCTTATTTTATCATTTCCATTTAAAAAGAGATTTCGTGTTTTACTTAACAGTTCTAGTCATTCAAGTTCCTATTTATTTACATTTTTATATATTTTTTTCAAAAGTATGTTTGAAACTTTTTCTTTTTGAGAGCTAGTTTTACAATTAATTGTCAATTTTACTTTTTTGTTAATTTTTTACATTACACAGTATCTGGTTCTTTTTAGCGACAGAGCTGAATCTAGCGCTATTTATTATTAACAGATTTCCATCTTCATTGTTACTGATTATTTTCAAATATAATATATAATTTTTTATTATTTCATGCCTTTGTTTCAAAATTAGAATTCCAAGAAATCATTAACTCTTGCATATGACTTACGGTTAAGCACATGTGTTTCTATATTTGAAATCCAGATCCCTCTGTTCGAGTAATTGGTTATTTTTGTTCAATTGAATTACATTTTATTCCGTAAAGTAATTATATCGCATCCAATAACTTATAATTATTTTGACTTTAGTCTTGAGCTGAAAGTGTTTACTACCAAAAATGCATGCTTTCATCTGCGTGGTTATTGATTAAGTTAAGTTAAGTGAAACTGATCATTGTTCTATAATTTCTTGTCATTGTTTTAAAATTAATTATTAGTTTCAATGGGTTATAGATTTTTATATTTGAATTCTGGTAAGCAAATAAGTGTGATGTCAATTTCATTCCAAATCATGTCTGTTTAAGTTACTGATTATTTTGAGTGCAATTTAATTTCAATCATAAACCAACCTAGTGGTTTCTGATTATTCTCAAACATAAATTACTTTTTTTTAAAAATTCTTTCATATTACTACATTGTACTATTATCACTGCATTGTATTATTATTATTGTATTTTATTAGGTATTAGTTTAAATGATTCATTTAAAAAAAAAAGTTTGGGTTAGAGTTTTCGGCTTACATGTTTTAAAATTTGACTACTTGTTTAACTATTTTATTTATTTATTTAGTCATTTATTTATTTTATTAATTTTTTTATTTTGTTTTGCAATTTGGTTAAATATAAATAGCATTTTTTTGCTTACCTAGCTTTAACCCTTAAAAATAGTAATAAGGTTTGTGTTGTCTAAAATATTTTTTAAAAAAATGTATAACAAGTGATTACCGTTTTAACTCTCTTTTTCCAGATCTACTAAACATAATACTTCAATATTTCACTGAATGCAAGAAGAAGAAATACAATATTTTTGTCCAAGAAAAAAAAAGGGTGAGATATTTAACATAAATTTTATCTAAAAAAACTGTTACATATTTTTTTTAATTAAATATAAAGTGTTGGCTGGAATTCCAATTTTTTTTTTAATTGCAATTTCCTATTTATTTTTATTCTTCAAATATCTTAATCACCATTAGATTTTAAGCTAACATAACCACTTTTGTTTTTCTTTAAAAAACTATCTTAAAATTAATTTTCCTTAATATTTTAAGAGTAATTATACAAAAAGATAGAATCGTTTAAAATTAAATTGGGATTATATGTAATTTTCTTAACATTTTTTTAAATAGAATTCTAGTGATCCAGCAGAAATTTGAAATAAAATAATTCCTGTTCAACTGTATTAAATTGTTATGTATTTTAAACTTGTCTTTAAAAATAAAGCATAATAACAACCTTATCAGAAGTGAAGATCAAAGTAAAATATAACATAAATGGAAAATTTAAGACACATCATATCATTTTAATTTTGTCCATAACAGAAAAATAACAAGTAATAAAATTTTAAATATAATTAATCACACTTTGATTTATTATTTACCATTCTCCGATTTCAATTTTTGTCTTAGAGCAATCTATAACATCAGGATGAATTCCTCTTGCAACAAGATCAATTACTTGATGTTTTTCACTCGGTAGGTATGAAGTTGCAAAGCACTTAGTTGAGCCTATTAGAAAAAAAATAATAAAAATTATGGAAAGAAATTAAAATCAACCAATCAAAAAAAAAAAAGTCAAAGCATAAGCCACAATATTTTTTTTTAAAAATTTAATTTTAAGAAAATATTCATTACTGTTAACATTTTTATAAATATTAACTCATAAAGTTGAGTTATTTTATAAAGTTTATAAAAATATAAAATAACCACTAAACAATTCACAATTATTGATTAGTTTCTTCGTTGATATTTTTTCATTGGCCTTATTATTCAATCTTATTAGTTGCACTGTGTTATTAAATTTTCTGAATTTCTATAAAGTTTATAAAAATATAAAATAACTGCCAAACAATTCACAATTATTGAATAGTTTCTTAGTTGAGATCTTTTCATTAGCCTTATTATCTATATCTTCGAATCAAAGTTTTGTAATCATCATGTTGGACTAATCAAAGTTTTGTAAATGAGTAGTTTGTTTTTTCAACTGATAAAATCAAATTTTAAATATCATTAAAATTTAATAAAGACAGAGTAACAGTTGTGACTCTACCCTTGAAATCACTGATCAAATTGAATGTGTTCATTTCAAAGTAAAAATTTTTGAAGCAGATTCAAACCAGAGTCCTATTTAAAAGAAAGAATCATTAAAACTGACAATAATGACATAGATTTTGTTTTGTCCTGATTAGTGACTAGATACATTTTCCTAAGAAAGGAAGGCTCGCTTAATGATTTTAAGATTCATATGAATATCATGAAAAATTTGAATATTACGCAATTTACTTCATAATTAAGAAGAAGAAAGATGCAATGTCTAAAAAAATCTTTTTTTAAAAAAAAACTTATTTTATTACTATTTCTTTGAAATAAAAAAATCAGTTCCTGTCAAACAGTAAAGTAAAAATAATTAAGAAATAACAATATTGAGTATTTATTGATAAAAACCATTTAAAAAAGAAGATTAATTTAACTTCAATGTATTTGAAAATGTAAGTTTTTTTTAAAATTTAAATAACTTTCGGGAATAGCCTGTTGTTGAAACTAAAATCCTCATTAAAATAATAATAAATCGCTTAACTAAACCAAATGGAACACAAAATAATAATAGAACCTGCATACCAACTTCTGCTGGTACTGGATCAGCTCCATTTGGCGGGTCTTCAACAGTCAATCCATCTCCACCACTGTGGGTAATGATCCAGTCATTCATCCCATCTATAAAAAAATAATCAACAAACATGAAAAAATTATTAAAACTAGCACATTTATAACATTTTAATTTATTAAAATTTAATTTAAGGAATCTTATTTAATTATACAGTCGAACCCCGCTATAGTGACCCTGGGATATAGTGAACACACGGATGTAGTGAACATTTTTAGCGGTCTCGTCCGTACTCCTATTTAAATAATGTTATTTTTAACGCTTATAGTGAACAGCTTAGAACTTGGAAACTCGGTTATAGTGGACTCAAATTTCATTTCTTTAAATATCTTTTTCAGTCCACCATCTTTAAATCTGTAGGTGTTGGGACTGAAAATGAATGCATTCCTATAAAATGTGTCATATTTCACTCCTCTATGCTTATCACTTTTAACTCTACTGTAATAAATGTCAAACAGAATCTTATACTCCCCCTCCCTGACAAGCCTCGCTTTGTCTCTTTTCCCCAAGCTTGCTCTACAACTAGTTAACTTGGTCACCTGCTGAAATTTTGGAATTTTCTTATCTGTTCAAACCATATTCCTTTAAAAATCACCCCTTGACAATCAAGAAGGGGAACAATTTAACTCATTCTACAGCTGCTCTTTTCATATTCTTACATTATCTATTTGAGACAAGTTTTTTATTTTAAAAGCAGTGAAAATGTCAAATTCTCTAAAGAGAAAAGCGTTTTCGATAGAGGACAAAGTTAAAATTGTAAAGCGTATTGAAGATGGAACCAATCAATCGACACTGTGTAAGGAATTTTCCTCGTCAAAATCTACAGTTTCAAACATTTGGAAAAATCGAAGTGCAATTCTTGCCACATACAACAAAAATATGGTTTCATCGAAAAAACTGCGTGGAGCTGAAAGAGAAAACGTAGAAGAAGCTTTGTTAAAATGGTTCACCACTCAGCGGGATAGAAATCTTCCTGTGACCGGACCTATGCTTCAAATTAAAGCGAATGAGTTTGCTGAAAAATTAGAGGAAAGGGATTTTGTATGCTCCAATGGATGGCTGGATAGATTCAAAAAGGGATTAATATTTCTTCAGGAAAGATTATTGGAGAAGAAGCGAGTGTTGATGCAACGGATGTGGAAAAGTGGAAAACTGGACTGTGGCCGAGTATTATACAGAATTATGAAGAGAAAGACATTTTTAATGCTGATGAAGCTGGACTATTTTACAAATTGATTCCCAATTAGACGATAAAATTTAAAGGAGAAAAATGCACTAATGGGAAACTCTCCAAAGTGAGAATAACAGTTCTTGTTTGTGCTAATATGAATGGCTCAGAAAAGCGAAAACTAACTGTCATAGGTAAATCTCAAAAACCAAGGTGCTTTAAAAATGTTAAAAAATAGTAAGTACTTTTTTCATCAATTTTCGCTTTATTATCTGTTAATTAGTTAATAATTTTTTAAATGACTTGTGTAAAATTGCAAACCCAATTTTCAATCATTCAACTGTCTTATACAAAAAATATTCTTCAAAAAATTTGGACATAGTGAACCATTGGTTATAGTGGACACATTACTGAGTCCGTAGACGGTTCACTATAGCGTTGTTCGACTGCATTTCAATCAATTTAATTATATTTTAATTATTTTTATCACAGTGACATTTGGATTGAATACAATATAGATTTCATGAGCAGTGCCGTAGCTTCACCTCTCGGGGCCCTGGGGCAAAAATTTTTGGCGGAGGCCCTTTCAAAAACTTTCACTACTCCATCTCTAATCGTCATTTTAGCTATTTATGTATTATGTTAACGAATATGTTTATGAAAACAAGTTATTTGTTCGCATATAAATTGGATAACGAAACATTTTAAGTTTTCCACATGGCAAAATACAAAATTTCAGCGAAATCGATTAATCCTGAGAAATTAAATTTTAAAAAAGTCGTACTTATAAAACTCAATTTCTCAAGAACTAATCAACCAATTTCGCTTTAATTTTGTATTTTCCATGTGGAATTAGATACTTTAAAATGATTAAAAAATATATATATATGCTTTGCGATTCAAAAGTTTTCAGACTATTATTGTCCCGTAGTGGACTGATCGTTAAGACACGGTTCACAGTAGATCACCGAAGTCAAGCCTCACTGGCTGTGGTCAGTATGCTGGTGTGTGACCACTTGGATCAGTCTGCGTAGGGACCGAGGGTGTGCGGTATTGGTCCTCGTTAAACTGTTCTACCATAAAATGCTCGACTTCGCGTGCAGGTCACCAGGCTACCGAAGCGGGGGTGCCAAACCCCTCTGCAGAGGATCAAACCTCAAGGGATGTTTCCCAGACCGTCGCCAATAGCCTATTGTGTAGCACTAGTGCAACGTAAATGATCAACAACATCAGACTATTATTAAATAAAAAATACTAAATATTTACTAAAAGTTATTTTTTGCATGGAATTATCTTTAGATAAAAGAATTTTCTAATAGTGAGCAAAAATTTTTCAATTCCCTTAACATTTGGGGGTCCAAACTTTGGATAGCTCACCCGACCCAACTATTGGGACCATATTTCCCAGATTACAGCTACCTATATTACGGGGGTTAGAAAATCGAATCTGTTGAACAAAAGTAATGTTTATTCAGGGAAAGTATGTTTTTGTGTCTGATTGCGTAACTTAAAATAAAATATCGTGCACTAATTAATTTG